TATGTGTTAGGGTGATTATTAAGCGTGTTGTCCACAGCACCATTTCAGTGTGGGAAAGCGATCAATTTCCATTGCAATTGTGTGCGCAGGCATAAAACTCTCTTTGGAACACTTAATTCCATGTCAGAGTTTAAAGTAGCTGTGATGGTTTCTATTTAGAAATAAAGTCAGAAAGGGGGCTGGGGGTTAGACGTCAACCATGGAGGTCAGAATACAGAAGAAGCCTCAAGTGCTCCCATAATACCATTCCAGAGGATCTAGAAGCTCACAGGCATTTGCCCAGGGCATCCTCACTTCCCATGACCTGGTTTTTACTGGCTACTTTTTTCTTTGCAACCTCCTCTCTTGTCTTTCCCCTCCAGCTGCTTCCTCAACCAGAAGGAGGAAGCAAGTGGTAGTAATTGCTGGCCAGGCTAGGCTGTGGGCAAAGCCCAGCCATCTGGGGGAAAGCCAGGAGAATACTCAAAGAGGTGGAGAAAAGAAAGGGCAGGGCAGGTGAAGAGGCCACGTGGGAGGCTCCCTGCTTCTTCACCGTATGGATGCCTTTTACACCATGCCTTTCTCTCTACATGTGTATTGTTCTCTGGCTGTTCCTCAGGACTCACTCTCCTCTTGTCTGGTTGGTCTCCCCATTAGCCCCTCCTGGTTTCTGTCTGGTCATGGCACCTCTCCTTTGACCCATTTCTCATCACAGCCCATTTCTGGGCTGTTTGAATGTTACAATCCCTTTGCACCCTGCTTCTTCCAAGCATGCAGGGCATGCTTAATAATTAAAGCTGTAATTAAAGTGTAACAGTGAGTATAATTAAAATTCACTTAAGTAGATCCTGGAATTAGGCAGCAGTTGGGTATTTTGGTGTGGCCCTGAAGGAGCCGCCAGGAGGAAAGAGTAGGGAGCTTCTTCCTTCACCCCTTCCCCTGAGCATGCCCACCAGTGTAACCTGAGCTCCAGAGCTGCATGGTGAGAGAATTGGTAACAGCTCGGAGCCTGCTGCCCTGAAGAGTAGCAGGGCAGACAGAGTGCCCCAGGACAGAAAGTCACAGCCAAGGCCCCTAGAGAACCCTCTTAGTTGCAAGATGATCAGAGAAAGGTTTGCCCACACCTCTCTGCTCAGGCATCATCTCTGTGTCTGTCCTTAGTCTGTCACCTCAGATATAACATGTGACTGATAATGCAAGATACCCTGAGAAGCAAACTGGCACTGAAGTGGATGTGTCCTGCACTGGCTGTGGGAAATGTCACTAAGTGTCCCCACAGGGCTTGTCCCTGATGCCTTGTAGAGATCATGGAAGACACTAGCAGCCTATTTGACAAGGCTGCTATTGTTAGGACGTTAAAGGTGGTTGCAAGGAAGGCAGCCCAGGGACTGAGAGAGACAGCTTCTATGAGTGGATAGGTATCCAGGGCAGAGGACAGTGGGGCTCTGGCTGTCTGCCTGGGCACTTACGAATTTTTAACATGGATTCTTTTTATTCCCCCTGAGAATATTGCTGCTAAGCCAGATGCTGCAGATGATATTAATTAAGGACCTGAATTATTCATGTTATTGGTCACAAGGAAAAGCAGCTTCATATGTGAGTTTTTTAAGACTTAGCATTTGTGCCATCCTTACACATGGAGGAGAACTCAGGTCATAGTGAATAGAGAGTTCGGAGTGAATAATTCTCAGAATGGATGAAACCATGAGAAAAGCAAGCTAACCCCAAAATCACAGGATGGGGGTGCATGAGAGGCCAGGAACAGTGTGTTCCACAGCTGTGTGGAGGTCTGGGGAGCTGGGTGCTGAGACTGGAGAATGCTAGAAAGGAAAAGCTGCTGTACCTTTTCTTAGGTTTTGTCTCTGGCAGACTGGGGGCAGGGACAGTTGGGGAGGGTATCCCAGTCCATTTCAGTTTGGAAGGAGACAGAAATACATGATTCAAACTTCTGGTCCAGAGATGTAATTTTAGGTCAGGCCAGGCTTTTGCTTCACTCTGTCATTGTTCCATGAGACCTACAGATTCCTGTCTGAATTCCCTTAGTTAGTCCCTTACCTAACACATGTTGTGTTCTAAATCCTGTCTTGCTTCTCAGCCTCTGGAACTGGGACTCAGACCTTACTAATCAGAATGCACACTGGGGTTGTGTTAATGAAGTAATAAAGCTTTGAATCTAGTGTGATGATCCCAAGATTTGAAAATGTAGCAAAGGGGTTGTGAATATCCTATATATCCAAGGGCCAGAATCTGAGTCCTCACACTCAGTCTTCACCAGGAAAAGGTGTGGTAGGCAGCACTGAAGACGCCTTACAGCTTGCTAAGGAGTAGTTCATTCTCAAGCTGGCTTCTATGGTTGGTAATAGGATGCTGTTCCCCGATTGCCTCATTCCTCCATAGCTGTAGGCCTTGGGCACTTGGGAGATGGGCTTTGTCCTTAGGGTGGCTTGAAACGTGACAGTTTGCTGGAGTGAACAGAAAGCACAGGCTTTCATGTCTCTCTTAAGAAGTGACATCCCACCCCTATTAGGATCTTACACAAAGAGGGAAGGTTACACAAACATTGGTCACCAGGGGGCAGAGTCAATCACTTGATCTTTCCATGCTGTTTTAGAAGCTACCTGTTACAAAAAACAGTGTGTTGGGTATAGAAATAGCTCAGTTAGAAAAGTATTTGTTGTTCAAGGCTATGTACCCCATGTAAAATAGCCAGGCATTAGTGATGTCCATTTGTGATGCCAGCACTGGGGAGTGGAGACAGATGGATCCCTGAGGCTTCTGGGCTGGCCTGCTTGGTGGCACTAGGCCAATGAGAGGCCTTGTCTCAGAAAAACTAGGGGAACAGAC